AAGCACTCTCGCTTGTAGAGCAGCTGGTGGATTGGAACCCCCAACCTTTCAGTTAGCAGCTGAAAGCATAACTGACTACACCACCAGGACTCCTTCACATGATATCTAACTAAAAAAATAATTTGGAAAGAACAATTGTATGAAACACAATGTGAATGAAGGAATGTGTGAAATCCAATGTACATGAACAAAACACAATGCATATGAATTTTGTATGTAAGTCAATAAAAATTTTGGACAATTTAACATTTACATACATCTTTATTTTACTATTACTTAGAAAGCTCTGGTGGCTTAGTGGCAAGAAGCTGTGCTGCAATCTCGAAAGCATGCGATTCGAGTCCACCAGTTGCTCTTCAGAAGGCTGGGCAATCTCCTCCCATGCGATTAACTGCCTCTGAAAATCTGCTGGAGGGTCAGCTATGAGTCGGTTCCAACTCTATGGTACACAACAATAACAACAACAACACACACAAATACATATATATATATATATATATATATGTGTGTGTGTGTGTGTGTGTGTGTGTGTGTGTGTGTGTGTGTGTGTTCTGCTGCTGGATTTGAACCAGCGCCTTCGGGATTGCAGCACAGCTTCTTGCCACTATGCCACCAGAGCTCCTCTAGGAGACATACAGCCTTTGAGTAAGCAGCTCAGCTCTCTCTGTACTGTGCCACCAGAGAACCCTAGGTTGTACCATCTTTGTTTCTTACCAATGATTAAGTAACAACTTTATACATATAGTTCAATCTGTTACATGTCTTTTAGTGAGTAGGTTTGTATTACTGGGAGATATATATCCAGTAGATACTGTTTTTCCAAGTGATTCTGTCAATTCACATTTCCATTCTTATATGAGAGTTCCAGCTATTTCACATCTTGCCAATATGTTGATATATATTGATCTGTTTCCTCATTTTTTTTTTACCTATTCTGATGGGTACATAGTGTAATAATGTGGTTTTAATTTGCATTTCTCTGATGACTAATAAAGCACCTTCCATATTTTTATTGGCACTGTAAATGCTCTTTAAATTTTTTTATTGTGATTTGAGTGGAAGTTTACAAAGCATACTGATTTTCCATGAATGCTTTAGATAAAGAGCTTAGTCTAGTCTTTTGCCCATCTTTCAATTGTGTTACCAGTCCTTTCCTTGCTTCAATTTTATCTTTTCCAGATGCAAGATCTTTGTCAAGTAGATACAATACCAATTTTTTTTTCACTCTGTAGCTTACCTCTTTATACTCTCCCAATGGTATCTTTTGATGAATAGACGTTCTTACCTTTAATGAAGTCTGACTTACCTATCCCCCACCCCTGTTTTAATACTTTTGATGTCCAGTTTAAAAAATGTTTGCCTCCCTCAAGGTCATGAAGTTATGGAGAATTAATTTTAACTTTGAATGGTTTTCCCCAAAATAACGAACTCTTTACATGTATTATAGGAGATTTTTTTTTAACAAAGACTTAATGACTCTCCATGGGAATCAGGAAATGCACTTGGAATATAATTATGGTCTGGACCTTACCTTTACTCCAGATGATTATGAAGAGGCTCAGATCTGAAAAGGTAACAAAGCTTGCCCTGGTTCACACTACCAGTAAACCAGGATTGGAGCACAGGGTTGAAACATTCCACAGTTTGATCTTAATCACTGAGCTCCTCCAGGAGGCATGTTGAGACCTCCAGAATGGAGTTTTGGGACACAGATGGTAGCTAGGGAGTGCTCGTGGCTTAGTCTGTAGAGAGTTGTGCTGCTAACTCAAAGTCTGCCATCTCTAGTAGCATCTCTGAATCCACTAGTGGCCTCGAAGGAGAAAGACTCTCTTCTCACTCAATTTACACACTGGAGGATCAGCTATGAGTGGGTTCTGATTCAACAGCAATGAGTGGGAGCTTCCAGATCAGTCTGAGAAAACAGAATAAAATTAAAAAAGGAAAGACATGCTAATCAAAGCAAAACTAAAACCAAACCAAACATCTACATTTAAGGCAGTTATGAACCTTGTGCTAATATGAAAGGATGCTTATGGCTTGGCAAACAGGAAGGCTTCCTTGATCCTTAAAAGATGTCACTCCCCCTGTTGATTGAGGCAGAGCTGAACTAGATTTGTCGCCCTATAGAATCAGAGTCTAGCCCCTAGGCCTGGATGGAGTTGGGGGCTTCGGGAGGATGTATAAATGGCAGAACTAAAGTGCATTAAACATTTCAGAGCTTTCAGGCAAAGTCTATTGGCAAGAAGCTGAAAGTCATAGAGAAGCCTATAACCACACCTAAGGAAAAGCTGTACTGACTAAAGATTTCTATCTTGTTTCCAACCGGATTTGCAGCCTATTCCTTCCACAAGCTTATAAACGTGAAAAACTAAAAGGAAATGAATGAATCTGTACACCATAAACTGCACATTAAGTTGAAGTCTAGATAATGATATTAAAACTAGCAATTTTTTTGCAGCTTCATGAACACTCATGAAATGGAAAAGACATCCAGGCTAGTGATCTGCTAGCACCTCCAAAATGATGAGAAGATTAGTTCCTTGTGAGTTTACTTTGCCTTTGTATATGTGATCACTGAGTTAAGATCTTTGTTTTTTCAATAAACTAATAAAAATGGAATTAAAAAAAGTAAATTAATAAGTACGTACATAAATACATACATACATACATACATAAATAAATAAATAAATAAATAAATAAATAAATAAAGGTGTCAGTCCTTAAAAGATAAGCATATTTCAGACTGTTTGGGGGAGACGACATTCCAGGCAAAGGGATCTGCAGGTGCAAAAGCACAGAGGTAATAAAGCAAGGAATGTGTCCTGAGAATATCAATACCTGTTCATCTCCAATGTTGTTGTTGTTTGGTGCCGTCGAGTCATAGACGACTCATAGCGACCCTATGAACGAACGGCCTGAGCACTGTTCCTACATAGAGTTTCCGGAGGCAAGCCATTTCGGAAGTGGATGCCGCTCCTGCTTCCAGGCCATCTCCAATGTGTGCGGTATTAATTAGCAAGCGATCAGCTCCAAGTACTAGAAGGCAGAGCTAAAAGTAGCTTAAATAATACATTCTTTCACTGATCACACAAACACTTTAGAGGCTTAAAAAGTACAACAGAAAAACATCAAGAGGCATCGTATGCGAAAACATAGTATTGATTTATTTTTTTTTTTAATTTTTTAAGATTATTTTGTGTGTGTACCATCAAATTGGACTGACTGGTACAGGAGATTGTCCTTCCTTCTCCAGAAGAGCATCTGGTGGATTCAAACCGTGTATGTCTAAGATTGCAGTGCAGCTTCTTGCCACTAGGCCACCAGAGCTCCACAGTATTGCTTTATGAAGCTTTTGTCTCACATCATGTCTCGGTGGCTGTCAAAAAAGTTTAAAACTCGCGAACTAAATGAGAGACTAGACACAGTGAAGCAAGGAATGGGAGGAACCTGAGATGTCTAGGTGACAAAAACAGGGAAGTCAGAAGGAGCTGGGGGAGGGGGAGGAAGATGACCACTTTCATTTTGAATGCATCGAATCAATCGGGTTTACAGTAAATCATGCATCATTATTGTCTTTTCCTACTAAAGCCAACCTCTGGTCAAAGGATAATTCTGAATGACTGATCTGAGAACTGAGGGAGTTTCCCCCACAACGTCATTAATAATTAGCTCTAGAGAAGAGTGACGCTTTGGGGGAGGGACTAACATGTATTGGGAATCCCTGGATGAGGGAAACTGCCTTATGTGCTTGGCCGCTAACAGAAAGATCGAAGGCTGGAGTCCGCCCAGAGACATCTTTAAAGAAAGACAAAGCGATTTAGCTCCGAAAATAATCGGACATTGAGAAGACTCTGACAGAGCTCACAGTTCGACTAGTGTGACACATGTAAGGTCACAAGAGGGAGAGTCGACAGCAGAAAGAGTTTTCAACGCGACGTGAACCCTTTCTGCCCTCCAGGCTGGTGCTTGAGAGCTTGGTGGAACTCTGAGCAGCAGCGCCCTCTATCGATAATACCTAGTGGGAGCACTCCTTGAACCTTCACTGTGCTGCTCTCTCTGCTTTATTAATCTTCCAGGCGGCCCTATCAGGCAAATAGCTCCTTCTCATAAAAGAGAAAGCAAAGGGTCAGAGAAAATGAGTAACTGCCAAAGGCTGTGCAGTGAGTAAGTGATAACTGTGTTGGGTCAGCTAACTCACTTGAGCTCTGAGAGCAACTTCAGGGCAACTTATGGCCTAAGTTGAGTAAGCTTTGATTTTTAAAAGGAAATTCTTTCCTCTTCATTTAAAGAATTTTGCACAAAAATTGGCTTTTATGTCTTGTTTGGTTCTCAAGTTTCCTAGAAGCTGCCAAGATTCCCGGAATTCTGAAGAAATATTGATGCCTCTGAACTGTGGCGTTGGAGAATATTGACTATGCCAAAGAAATCTAAATGAATAAGCAATAAAGTAGAGGGTCCGTGAAAAAGAGGAGCACTCACAATGAGATGGGTTGACACAGTAGATACAACAGTGGACATTCACATGGCAGGGACTGTGAGGATGGCACGGGATGGCGCTGTTTTGATACAAGAGTCGCTGACTCAACTGGTTAGCACTATCACAACAGAATTCTCTTACATCTGCCACTTTCTCCTAGATAATATTTACTCGGACAACCCACATCTCATCACAAAATGAGTGGCACTTTAAATGCCACTCTCTAACCTGGTTTGTTTCTCACAAAACTCGTTAATGTTTTTTAACCTTCCGGTAAGAATCTCTTTTTTTCCTCTTAGATCTTTCTAGTTTAACCCTTTACCATTGTCTTTCCTAGGTCCACGAGCTTTTTCTTTTCTCCTTGCGCCAATGCTACAACACTGCTGTGCAGCTACTTTCCAGCAGTTTGAACCTCTTAACAGCCTCGATGGCTACCTGAAGTTATTCAACTACTCCGAATTTGGATTGTCCAAGGTCCAATAAGAATTTGGTGCCAGGCCTCAGCTCCCTTCCCCACTTCCAAATGGAACACAGCTCAGATCAAGGCATGTACCTAAGGCCATCCTGCCGGGTTCCCAATTCACTGCATTCCTTCCAGGTGGACTCTACTAATGGGGTTATTTGTGTGTTTGTCTCCGCTTCTCATTTCCTTGCGCCCCAGCCAGGGAAGAACAGGGAGCTCACCAATTTGTGTACCTGGAATAAACCCAAGGAGCATTCCCCAGCGAACAGAACCACAGACCAAAAATGGGCGAGAAGTTTCCCTTGCAGCAAGTCGGCCCCCGACAGCGACAGTTCCCACTCCCACCTGCCCAGCCACTGTCAGGGATTAGCCGGGAAAGATTTTCCCCGATGCAGTGAAATAAGCCACCCAGGGATTCAGATTGCGCGGGCAGTGGCGGAGCCGCAAAGGACACACTGCCCGACAGCGTCTCAGCCGCCTGTCAGGCCCCGGAAGCAGTTTCAGCCGGAACCTTTCCGTCGATTCCCGCCCGAGCACTTTTGTGCGGTTCACAGGGACCGGAAGTCAGAGGAGGGGGAAGGACCGCAGGAGCAGACTGAGTTGACTTGGAAGATGAATTCTCTTACTCCTTTTCGTTTGGCGGGAGGTATGGTGAACCAATATCCCTTCGGCTCTTATCCCGATTCTAGATTATTTCCCCTTTTAGGTTCCAGTCCCCACAACTCCTTTTTGGGGGGCACGGAGCAGACTAGGAGGCGGCTGACAGGTTTCTAAGAGTTCTGTTTTGCCTGGCCAGGGGACCGCGAGGATGGCTCTTTCCCTCCGGGGATATTAGTTCCTTGTGGGATGTCAGTGACTTTTTAGATTTACAAAAGACTGCATGTATGACCTTTCCTCTTACAAAACCATAGTCACGCCAGAAATCTTTTAAAGTGCACAAGAATCGCCCTCAAATTCTAAACATTTTCAATATTCCTATAAACCGTACTTATCCAGTTGACACATTTATGTAAATAGAAGTGAAGGTAATATTCCTAACGAGATATTAATTACAAAAAAGCCTCTCTAAAGTTAAAAGGCACGTGGTTCGAATCCAGCCGCACTTGGAGAAAAATCCTGTGTGACCTACTGTTCTGGGTCATCTGCGACCTGCAGGAACCTACGAACAACAATAAATTGTCTAGGAGGAGATTGCTCATCATTCAAACCCTGTGCCTTTGAGGTGGCAGCACAACTCCATATCCACTAGGCCACCAGAGCTCCCTGTAAGGAAGTAGGATATCTGAATTTGTTCTTTTTCTTTTAGTGAGGTGGAGAGGCGCCCTATTTGCTGATGCCCTACACATTTCTTGCTGTCGGCAAAAATCCACTGCACCTAAGAAAATGAGCCCCAGCGATTGTGGTGACAATACAAAGGATGTTGGAAATGCACTTGACAAGCTTTTCTCTCAGGAACAGCAGGCTTCCATCTTGCATGTATTGAACACAGCATCAGATAAAGAACTTGAAGATTTCAAACAGCTTCGTGGAAGAAAGTCCATCAAAATTATAGAGCACAGGGAAAAGTTTGGGCTATTTCAGAATTTGGAGAGCTTAATGAATGTGCCCTCATTCCAGTATAAAACAGCTGTTCAAGTTTGTAATTCCATTCTTTGCCCCGAGACTGGAAAGAAAAAAAGAAAACTACAGGAAAACCGGGTCTTGGGAAAGATCATCAAACCAGACATAGGAAGAGAGAAACTTAAGGTAAACCGTTTTTCTTCATACCTGCTTCATTGGCTAAATATTTGAGAAGCTATTGCACAAAACATTATTGTGGGCATTGGGTTGGGGAATTACTCAGACAGGATCCTTCAGGCACCTTGTAATTTAGTTGGTGTATCAAGGTGTATACATGCAAAGTAATGCATTTATAAAGATATACACATATAAGTAACCTACAATGTAGTATGTAATCACTACTAATAAGGAGATGTACTGGTAGTGAATTAGCAGTTTAGAGCATAGAGAACTGTAGATAGTTCGGAAAGACTTACTGGAAAAAGTCAACATGAACTTTGAACAAGAGAATTAGACTAGTTGTAAGAGGATATTCCAGGCAGAAGGAACACTTGATTTCCAGAAGTCAGTCTATCCAAGGTTTGTGTAGCCCTTATTTGCCTAAGGGTCACATAGGAGAGTAATGAGAAATTAAGATGCAAAGATGAGTTATAGCTAAGAAATCTGGATTTCATCTATGATTTTATTAACAATTTAAAACAAAAGTGGGGGTTTTTTTGGTTTCTTTTTTAAGAGATTTAAAATTTCCAACAGGATTTATTTTCTGACTACCCCATCTTCTTGCTGGGAAAAAAGTTCTAACACCACATCTTTTTCAATATTGTGTAAAATGAATTGTTGAGATTACTCAGTTCTTTAGTCAGACATTAAACTTTGCAAGAATAGAAGTCCTGTATAGCATTATTTGATAAAATACTCTCACAATAAGCACCGTTTCTTCTGCATCCATATTAGTAGCATTTGGGAAATATGAATAATTTTTTAAAAGTTTATCAAAGCTTTGGATGCTCTTACCAGAAAAAAATTAGCACCTACACAGAATTTTACATAACCTTTCAGCAGATTTGTACATGGATTCATTGCTCCTGTATCTATAAAACATATTAGTAAGTCATTTGCTGATAGAACTAAATGACCCATGGGAGAGTGAGTTGATGCCTCTGTGCTGTACCTTCAGCTCAAACTTTGTACTAAGCGTCACAGAGCTAGTTATCAGTGACATACCTTCCTTAAGAAATCCTGTAACTCCTACAGAAATCCTGTAACACAAAACCCCAAGCCCATTAGCTTCCAATCTCCAGTGGCTTCTGACTTACGGGGATTGCATGTGTTTGAGTATTAGGACTGCTATACAGGGTTATCTTGCAGTAATCTTTATGGAAGCAAATGGCCTGACCTTTCTTCCATGGTCCTGCTTGGTCAGTTTACTGCAGACTGTTATACCCCTCAGGGACCTAGATGTCTTTCCTGCAAGTTAAACACAAGACATTTAAAAATAATACATCCTCCTCACACCTTCTCAGATTGACTTGCCTTCTGTCATCATCCTGATTAGTTATATCATCTAATTATGGAAAACTAGAAAATTATCCCACATGCTATTATGATAGCACTTTGACACTGTTTCATCACTGTTGCTGTCTTAGGTTCTAAATTGTCATATGTTAAAGGAAGTGCTCAACACAGATTCCTACCTTCTAGTCTATAGCTTCTTCCCTACAGCTACTAATGATCTTTCTGAGATGTTCCTTCTATTGTAACATGTGTTGGTGGCTCCTTGGAGCTCTGAGGACAAACCATGTTGCTTTGTAGAAATCATTGTCTCTGCTCTTTCCCCAGCTATAGCCTTTACTGCCTGTGAGGTGTCAGCCTGTATCTTTGTAGACATCTGGATCAAATAGTTTCTTGTATAATAAATGGTTCTAGTCCTCCAGGACGTCTCTTCTGACTCTTCCTCCTTTGTACAGTGTTCTTTGATACCATTTATTATCCTGTATGATTTTGTTCCTTGTTTCCTATTATCTAGACAGTCACTGGCATTATTTGAATATCTGAATGCCTACTTTGGGTTAAGAAAAAATAGAAGTGTCTTTGTCAATAGACTAATTCCTATTTATTTTTTTTTAGATAAAAATAAAGACAGATTATTAGAAAGTTACATCTCAAAGGGACAGATTTTCCTCCTTGAAAAGGACATATGGAGAAGCTTATTGATTACCTTTTTGGGGGCCCCGGGAATTGCACAGCCAACCAAAGGCAGGGAGTTCAAATCTGCCAGCTGCTCTGTCGGAGAATCATGAGCAGTCCCTTCACTTGTGATTTGTAACCTTAAAAACCTATTCCAACTCAATGGCAATTTTATTCTTGTTTTCTACTGGTTTCCTTTTATTGTTGTGTGCATCAAGTCAGAACTAACTCATAGCTGACCCTCCTGCAGTGTTTTCAGAGGCAGTAAATCAGATGGAAGCATCTGTCTTCCACGGAGCAACTGGTGGATTCGAACTGTGTTCCTTTGGTATTGCAGCAATTATCACTAGGCTGCCAGAGCTCTGCTGATTACCATTTAGTAATACATAATTAAAACCATTTAGTAGTACATAATTATTTACTTCATAATTACAACAACAGAACCTAATCTTCAGTTGATAAACTGTTTCTTTAACATTAGATGATTAGGAATTGAGATTTTAACTTCAACTTTGTGTGTTAAAATGTTAGCACCTCTAATAAAGACAGCCTTTTTGTTTCAGGCAGTTAACAGTATCGTATCTATTGTTTTTGGCACTCGAAGAATTGCCTGGGCTCATCTTGATCGTGAGAAGACAGTGCTAGACTGGCAGCAAGATGAAAGCTGCAGTATGGTCAAAGGGACGTACTTGTCATCTGTCTATTTAGAAGAGGTAAGGTGTATGCCTCCAAATGCCAATCTCCTTGTGTGCTTTAGTCCTGTTGTCCTAAAGGAATTTTATAAGTTGAGGATAGGTTTTCTTTTGGGAATAATGACTCTCTTGTCACCTGTAATCTTTTAAAATGGAATCTTTCTTCACCTAGTTCTGTGGTATATGAAGCTAAATGTTTTCGAGCATTACTATTATATCAAAGCTTAATTTTTCAAAATACTGTCACAAGTATTCTGAGTCTTCAAAACAGACAGGAATTATGCTTTTTTATTATCAATTTGAAAACTGTGGTTCACATAGTTTATGCTTAAAATGTTATATAAAATGCTTCATTTAGGAAAAAAGCAATGGTGTCAGCCTTGCCATGTAACAATTTCACTTGAAATTTGACACCACTTAAATAGTTAAGGGTGGGAAGAGAAGTGTGAGAAGGCATACAGATAAGGATGTCTTTTCTTTCTTTTTGCAACAATATCCTTAAAGTGGGAGAAGTTGTTACTATTTGGAGAAAGGCAGCTTAAGTGGATACTGTTTTGTGTATTAAGAAGTTTTCTTTCTTCTTTTTTTTTTTTTACATTTTAAATTGTGTAACTGTTAATTGCCCGGTTTTGCCCTGTATTTGCTTGGAGTTTTAGTATTTTATTCTCTAATTAGGTGGATCTCTAAAAACCAAACCAATAAATACTTGGGGAGGTTAGATGTGTATGTTTTCAAGCTCGGTGTGTAAGAATTTTTGCTTTTTCGTTGTTTTCTTCCACAGGTTTTGAAACATGATCAGTAATCACGTGTGTTATTTTTTTTTAAATGGTTTTGGTTTTTTAAAGTAAAATTGTGAACACTTGCTTTTCAAGGGCAGGGCATCTGTTAATGGATATTGAATAATATTGTAGCTTGTACAATGTGCCTTGTTAATGTGTTTCTGAACACTTTTTTCCAGCAACTTGAAAACTCAAAAGGGACATTTGGTTAGGCTATATACTGTGCATCAATCTATGCATAAATGGCAGCTTGTTTTCTTGAGCCACTGTCTAAATTGTTTTGTTTCTGTTTTTTATAGACATTTTTATACTGACTGATTCATAGATGATCAGTTTTATATACAGACTGAACAAATACAGCATTTTGCCAAATATAAGTGTAGCATTGCTTAAACATTGTGTATTAATACGAGTTCTTTGTAATTGGGTTTAGTGGTGCCTTTTGCACTACCTGGAAGTTACCATTTTTAATTCTGTCAGTAAATAAAATACCTTTAACATTAAAAAAAAAAAAGAAAACTGTGGTTCAGTCAGTCTCTTGTCAGGATTTATCAGTTGTAGGGCTAATTTGTTGATTCTAGCCTAGTTAGTTTAACTCAATCTTGAACATTTAAAAAGATTATTTAATCCATTTAAGTTACCCAATTTCAATCTCAAATGGACTGTACAACCAGAAGCCCATTTTACAGGTGAAGACGCTGGAGTTTAGGAAGATTAAACCGATTGCCCGAGTTTATTTAGCTTCTTCCTGATAAAACCATGACTATAATAATTATAGTATTTTTAAATAGAGAGGGGGCCCAAACATTAAAGTTTCATGAAATATTTCTGCTTACTTATGTATTTTCTTTTTTTAAAGATGTCTTCAGTCATTTCAAAGATACCGAAAGCTGATTTCTACATTCTCGAAAAAACAGGACTTCCGATTCAGAACATATCGCTGTTTCCTATACTGTTACATTTTCATATCGTGGAAGCCATGCTGTATACCTTGTTAAATAAAACATTTCCGCAGGACGGCCAGCACCGCGTGCTGAGCATGAGCCGAAGTGCAGTGGGGAAGCACTTTGAACTGATGATCGGTGGGGACACAAGGACTAGTGGGAAGGAGCTCATCAAGGAGCTCTTCTCAGAGTCTGTACTGAAGGCAGACCCACGAGTAGTCTTCCCTACGGATAAAATCGTCCAGTACAGACAGATGTTTTTATCTACCGAACAGAAAAGAGTGGAGGAATTGTATGACTCACTACTGCAAGCTCTCGCCTTCTACGAATTAGCAGTGTTTGACAGCCCACCTTAAAATTCTGATCTTAATGTAGCTAATGATATATGGGTTCTTTTTAGTCATCAAAGTAGTATCTTAGTGTGTGAGGTTTTTTTAAATGTTATTTGTTTTTTTAACTCTTGTGTTAATGCTTGAGAAAAAGGTTTGTATTTTGGATGTTTAAAGGGCGTATATATAGTAATGCTAAGCTAAGGCCAAAGCAATAAATATTTTTTTCAGATTTTATGCCTTTTAGGATTAAATGTTAAATTATCAAAATAAATTTATTTCTCGGGGAGCTCTGGTGGCCTAGTGGCAAGAAGCTGCAATGCAATCCCAGAGGTATGCAGTTCAAATCTACCAGATGCTCTGCTGGGGAAGGAGATACAACTTCCTCTGTACCATTCAGATCTGATTTGGCAGTACACGTACACATACACACACACACAAAATAAAAAAAGGGGGAGCTCTGGCGGCCGAGTGGCAAGAAGCTGCACTGCAATCCTGAAGGCACCTGGTTCAAATCCACCAGATGCTCTGCCAGAGAAGGAGGGGCAACCTCCTCCTGGGCCAGTCGGATCCTACTCGATGGTACACAACAAGTAAAAAAAAAAACCAACAAAGAAAACCTTATTTCTCACTCTCAAAAGGAAAATACCATGTATACTTAAAAGAGTTACTTCATTATATTGTTAAAATAGGGAAGAGAATTTTCTAGGTGACATTCATTACAGGACTGAACACTGAAGATAATAACGTATGGAATAATTTTCCAAAGATAATTTTCATCAACTGAACCTATAAAGCCCCGAAAACTGTCTAATGAAATCTTTTAATTGCAGACTATCTTCTGATAAATGTAGCACTTATTTTCCTCCCTCCCAAAGGTGTCCAGATTCTCATTATATCTCCTTTAGTTCAGGCTCTCATCTGTTGTGGTTGTTCCTATGTGCAATTAGATCATAAGGACCCTATGAACAAAGATCTGAACCTTGCCCTGACCTGTGCCAGCCTCACAATCTCTGTCCTTCTTGAGTCTGTTATTACATTCACTGTGTCAGTTATCTTGCTGACTGGTCTTCCTCTCTTTCTCTGAACTTACGCCTTTCCCATCATAATATCTTCCCCAAGGACTAGCCTGTCCTGACTACAGGCCTTCTTCCACTGAAGATCTCATCTGTACCATTGGAATATTCTTGAAAGCCATTTTCCAGCCTCTATTTTCATTAATATTTTGCACTGTTACAAGAGTAAAAAAAAAAAAATCTATTTTTCCACTGTTCAAAACCATCCTAGGACTACAAATAAAGGTAAATACTATTACATTTAAAATCCAGTATTATAGTAATATCAGGCATTATTCTCAGTAGATACATACATAGGCTGAAAGGCAAGATGAACAAGTATGCATAAGAGAACAAGCCTATACCCACAACTTTAGAGGTATAGACAGTATTTCTTTATACCTATCTCTTAGTACAGTGACTTTTGTGTATCCCCTTCATCTTTTGATGTTTTCTGGATCATTCAATATATTGCCCATTGCATCTTTCAATATTGCGACTTGAGCCTTAAATTTGGTTTTCATTTCTCTCAGCTTGAGAAATGCAGGGCAAGTTCTTCACTTTTTATTCTCCAGTTCCAACTCTGCACATTCCATTATAATACTTTTGTTCTCCTGAGTTGATCTTTCAAACCTTTTGTTCAGCTCTTTTACTTCAGTATGTTTTCCTTTTGTTTTGGCTTCTTGACACTCCAGTGCAATTTTTAGTCTCTTCTGACATTCAATTCTTTTTCTCCTGTTTTTTAATGACATTTTACCTTTAAAAGAAGAATCCCTATACTAGAAAGAACTGATTGACACTGAAAAATTTCAGGAAGTACCATATGAATAGTAAGTAGCCAATGGCAATGAAGGCCGAAGTGGAAGATACATTTAAGGCACTGGCAAAAACTAAAGCCCTAAGAAACAATGGGATACCAACTAACTTGTTTCAATTAACAGATGCAGCCCTGGATGCACTCATCAGTCTATGCCAGGAAGTTTGGAGGACAGCTGTCTGGCCAATGGATTGGAAGAGGTCCATATCTGTTCCCATTTCCAAGAAAACGTATCCAAATGAATATGCTAATGATCGAACAATACCCATAAAATCACATGCAAGCAAAATACTGCTGAAGATCATTCAAAAACAGCTAGAACAATACATAGATAGGGGACTGCCAGAAGTTCAAGCAGGATTTAGAAGAGGCTGTAGCACCAGGGATATCATTGCTGATGTAAGATGGATCCCGGCTGAAAGTAAAGAATACCAGAAGAATGTCTATTTGTGCCTTACTGACTATGCAAAGGCATAGTGGGTGGATCATAACAAAAATAACATATTAAAACTTTAAAAATATAGCAAAAGTGCATGGAAATTCATTTATAGTAATAATAAATACAGAATTTATAGCACTATTTGGTACAAATACACCCCAAAAAGAAGGGACATAAACAATAACCCTAACAATTCAAACAAAAGGGAATAAGCCCAGTCACCAGAAGAAATGAAATAATGAAGATTAAAATATAAAAAGAACAGATAAAGAATCAGCAAGATCAGATGTTGATTCTTTGAGGTGATCAAGAAAATAAACACTAGTCAAACTGACGAGAAAAGCAGAAGCACAAAAACTCAAGAAAGAAATGAGATGGATGGTATTACAACAGAACTAACTAAAAACCATACCAGAATACCATGACTAATACACCAACAAAAATTGAAAATCTAGAAGAAATGCACAAATTTCTAGAAATACACTACTTACTTCCTGCGCATCTGAAAGCTGAACAATGAATAAGGATGATGATGATGGATTGCCACAGTGATGGTAACATGGTCTGTCTCAGAGATGATGAGGATGGCACAGGATAGGCCAGGGTTCAGATCTGCTGTTCATAGGGTCACTATGAGTCACAGTGGACTCAAACCCACCTAACAACCACCTAAGCTAATACGAAGTGAACAGACACATCACAGAAAAGAAGGAACCGTACCAAATTTAACCGATAAAGCCAGAGTAATGCTGAAGCCAAAGAAATACCCCCTCCCCCATTCATTACAGAACAAAATGAACAGAGCCACAACAAGTAAAAGACAGCAAGACAGGAGGGGACAGAAAATCTGATTAATGGAAACTGGGAACCCAGAGCAAAAAATGAGGAGTGCCAACACACTGTGACACTGTGAGGAATGCAGGCAATTCCATGCTTTATGTAAAAATTACAAATAGAAACAAATTTGCTTTGTAAACTTTCACCTAAAGCACAGTCATTTCCAAAAATTTTTAAAAAATATGCTTGTTAGAAAAAATTAGAAGTATTTTTTATCTCTGACTTCCTTAGGAGTTTGGTATACTCCAAACTTGTCATGCACATGCAGATTTGTACCTATATTAATTAACACATACAGCATATAAACATATTTACCTTGGGTGTTTCATTTGTTGTTATTGTTTGGTGCCACTGAGTTCAAACTCATAGTGATCCTATCTGTGCAACCTGAGGAGCCCGGGGACACAGTAAGTTTATGTCAACGCAGGAGAAACAACAAGGAGGGAGGGAATAGTTGCAAGATTCACTCAGAATATAATCAGTCTCACTGGATGGGACCCGTAGAAACTGTTGAAGTATTTCCACTGTGTGTATTCTCAACAACAGCAAAATGAAGAAAAACAAGGGAAAAAGTGGAGCCCTGGTGGCGTCTATGGGAAGTTGTGCTGACTCACACCCTGTGCCTCCCTAATCCACCTGCAACTCCACAGAAGGGGGGGGGGGCAGTCTCCTCCCCTGTGATTTCTACCTGGGAAACCTGAGGCATCCAGGCTGGGTGGGGCTGGGTGGGGAGGTGGGCGGAGGAGGGAGCAGGAGTGTGGTCGGTTAGGAATTTGTTTCCACCAGATAGCAATGAGTTAGAGTTTTGAGTCTTAAAGGAATTTGTCACCTTTAAGAATTATACTTCATTTTTCGGGGGTGGGGGGGGTAGAGAAAAAAGTACAACAATGAATGAATGCAAATCAAAAATCTCTGTAAATGTTCATTACAATTAATACTTCCCTTCTCAATGGTACTAAATATGAAAAATAAGCTATTACTATTCCTCTGATGAGGAGGATAATTCCTCCAGATTAGTTCTTGGATTTTTTTATACTTTAAATATTACAGTAGAATGTCTATTTAAATATTGCATAACACCTTTCTGATTTCGCCTTTAATCAGATCATTAGACTAAGTTAAACAAGAATAGGGCCAACAAATAAGAGATAAGAACATTTTCATACATATTTGAAAACAAGTATGATTATATTTTTTCAAAACTGTACAAAATTAGGATCCTTACTCCTTGAGTTAACAATATAATACACCAGATAACATATCTGAACATTAAGCTAATACATACTATAAATACTTGAAATAGGAAATTATTTTAGATACACCTGATTATCTGATTGCAAAATAATTTTAAGTTAAATGTGACATTTTAAGAATGTTGTCATTAAAAAAATACTCTTGTAAAAACAGCAGTAAGTGAAAACAGTAATTATGGAGAAATTTGGTAGTCTGTTATTTTTGATGAATTCTGTCTAAGTTTGTCCAAGGTGTATTAACATCATTAATATCTTTGTGAAATAAAATATCAATGATTTTTGCTAAAGAAGAAAATGTACAAGGCAAATTATTTGAGCTGGAAAAATATAAGATATAAAATATTTATGAAAATTTTAATTCATAATCTTGATTTTACTTTGTCCACATTCAGTGATTCAACACTAACATATGTAGGAATACAGTGAAAAACCGTCAGAAAGATCTTCTGAAAATGAGCATAATTTTCTTGACAAAGTTTCCTTATTCAATACATATGTAATTTTGTATTATGTAAATGTATTTTAAAAAGTTACCATCCAGGTGATTGATATTTACAATTCAAAAGAGCACCAACATTTGTAGAGGCTGGGTGAAGAAAGTTAGCCTAGCGCAGAAATATCTTCGCGAGCTCTGCTTTCTACAAACATTTACTCACATATAAAAATATGTTAACAAAGTTACATATCAAAAAATTCTAGAAAAAAGAAATACTACCACAATCATATATACAATGTGCAGCTCAAATGTTTTCATTTTAAATATTTGCATACCAATAAAAATATACAAATTTATTCAAATATACACATTACAAAGACCTAAGCTCCTCCAAAGAAATCAACAGAGGAAAAAACAACACTTAAGAACCACATGGTAATCTACACCAGGCATCGTTAATGTACAATACTATGGGAAGTCAGCTGCCAAAGTGTTCACTGTCTCTTTGGGAATGTCAAGATGAATTCCTTCAAAATAATGCAGGAACCTATCAAAATAACAAGGCAAAACACAACTTCATATTAATATTTTCACTAATGAAGACAGTCTTAAAACAGTTACACAAAACATAATTTTTAATGGAAACTTTACCTTCTTTTACTTTTTCCTTGTTCTTTTAGCTTCTCAGTCCTACAAATGTTCCGAAGAGTGGGCAGGTATTCAATTGTACTTGCTTGTCTGTTACCAAGGGTCAGAAGAGATCGACTGGAAAATACACTTTTAATAACTGCCTGTCTCTTCTGTGCATTACTGTAAATGAAAAGAAATGCAAGAGTTTTTATTTGAAAATATGATAATCATCAAAAACAACCAGTCTTCCTGCCTTGTCGTAGACTGGACAGCCCTTCCAGGCATCCTTTATCATTCTCAACAGATCACTCACTCAAATAAACCATCTCTTTCATATTGAAACCCTTCAATCAATATCTAGCAACTGCCACAGCAAGTCCAAATCCACCTATCATTACAGAGACATCACAGCAGAGACATCCACATTGTCCCACAATCACAGTCATCAGATGTTATCTCATTAGAAGTTACATTATCAATACCAACAGCTCAATAAGATCAATAAAGGTCAGCAGTTCATAATTAATAGACATAAAAGAAATTCTAAATCATTCCTCTGTGACCATCTATTTTTTTTAAATACAAAGTAAAAATACTTACTCTAAATTAGTTGCTGATTGACTAAAGTATACATTGTTGCATTGTGGTGAAACATAACAAGTAAGATCTCCAGTTGGATCTCTTCCTAACTTCTTGCAAGAATGCAGAGAGGCTTCCAATGCTTTTGAAATAGCAGAAGAGCACTTGGTGAAGCTGAGAGCTTCTACAGCCGCCTTTAATTCCCCAGAGCATTTAAAAGGCCAGTCATCACAGCTCTCGAGACTAAATTCATCACAAAGCCCATTTTTCACCTTTCCATTAGTCCAACTAAAGTCATTTTTACCAAATTCCTTTGGCTCCTTTACATCAATTAAAAGAGCATCTAAGAAGGACATGTTCTCCATAAACTCAGTGAGGGAATTTAAACAATGAGAAACCAAGGCCGAACACTTTTTTTCAGCTGGGGTCATAGGAGGCTGAGGAATAGAGTCAGTATTAGATTCTGAGCACTTGTTGCCTTTCCTTGTCTCTCGTGAGCTTTCACTGTATCTGACTTTGCATTCTTCTGGACTTGCCAATGTGGAAGGAGACAGGCTAATGAGCTCATGAGAAAGGTCTAATTCAGTGTCAAATAAGTCACTGTCGTCCAGTGTGACTATCTTTTTCTTATTTTTCTTTTTTTGTGACTTTCTTGATAACTGCTCTCCTTCAAGACATGCCACACTTTTCTTTGCTGGACTGACACCCAAAGTTACTGATGAGCCCCCAAGGTTTGTGGTTTCCAAGATGACAGCAACTGGTAATGGCAGAATAAACTCAAGATTACTATATAAAAAATCTACATTCCAAGTTTGGAATTGTGTAAGAAGCTGGATGAGTTTATGCCATTCTTCCTTAGTTGTGATTTTGTGCTGAAAAATAATTTTGAGTAAAAATGTTAAAATAGTACATTATTACAGTGGGAACATTTTTCTATCCAATATACAAAAATCCCAATTCTATCTTCAAAATACTGAATTACTTCTCCTCGTAATTTTATTGACATGAACGCCTCACTACATCAAAATTCTATTAATTCCATGCTTTTCAATTTTAAAAATAACATATAACTTTGAAGAACTGGATCTCCTAAAACAGTGACTAAGAAAATTAGTAAACCACCTCATCAAAAGGAAAATCATGAAGACTGTGAAAATAAAAAACAATGAAGGAAATTACAAGTAAAGCTATAAACAAATGAACGGAGCACAGAAAAGTAGATGGAAGAAGAAATCAGCAACTACAAAAAAGAGCACAGCGTGAAACAGTGCAAAACACTGAGGAACCTAGAAGGCAATGTCACAGAGCCCTACTGCAGCCGAAGACCACCATTATAAACAGCTAAGGAAAAGTTTACATACAGAATTTTCAGATGGTTTCTAGGAATGCAAAGGAAAGGAGAGGGGAACAAAACCTACTTATTAAAAAAAAAAAAAAAAAAAAAAAACCACAAAACCTACTTAATAGCTAGACTGAGTGAAGAGGCAATATACAATATACCGATGACACTGATTAATTCAATGATTATATTATAAAATGTGCATGAGTGATCAGAAAAAATATAAAATGTTGTAAAATAAGATGTATAATGTTATAAAATAAGATAGATGAATGATGGGAGGGGAAATCCAGTATGAGTTATAAATTTTTCCTCAAATTAAAAAATATTTTTCAGGGAACTCTGGTGGCCTAGTGGCAAGAAGCTGCACTGCAATCCCAGAGGTGGTGGTGGTTGTTGTGCCATTGAGTCACTTGTGGTAAGCAGTTTAAATCCACCATATGCTCTGCTGGAGAAGGAGGGACAATCTCCTCCTGTACCAGTCAGATCCGATTTGATGGTACACACACACAAAAATAATAAATAAAAAAAAGAAGAAAATGTTTTTCATAAGATTACATTTTTAAAAAATCAAATACTTAGGATGGCATAGAACCAGGTAACACATAGTTTTGTTACACATAAGGTCACTCTTGTTTGGTGTCTATTCAATGGCACCTTGCAGAAACAACAATTACTTCAATTCATTCATTAGAAGATCATGGGGATGAAAAAACAAAACAAAAACTTTTCTAAAACTACATTTACCTGAAATATTTCTGCATTCTACTATAAATTAGGGAGCTCTGGTGGCCTAGTGGCAAGAAACTGCACTGCAATCTCAAAGGCATAGTTTGAGGATCAACTATGGGTCATGACAGTACACAACAATTCTAAATTTGGTAACACTCATTTAGAGCCTAGCCTATTCACCATCTCTACAATAACAGAATATGTCAAAATCTGAAATTTAAAGCCTATAAAAATTATAGCTAATGTTATGAAACGTTATTATGAAAGAAAATTTCAGCTAAACTTATGGATCTAAAAGACACAAATGAGTGTTGAGAAGACAAAAAAGAACACAATTAACTAGACATTTAAAATACCTTTATAAATGAAAACATATCTTCAGATGGGGGAAAAATGTTCTTAAGGCCAAACCAAGTCTCAGCACAGCCAATATCACATTTGGGAAGAATTGGAGAATTCTTTTTAGTGTTTTTCTTGGAATCACGGCCACTGTCAGAACAAACTAGCTGACCATTTCTGCTTTTTTTCCCTGTAAAATTAATAAAGGAGAATCTTAGCTATGCGTATTTTAATAAATTGTTGCAAACAATTACAAGGTAGTGTCCTATTTACAAGATCCACATTCTTTTGACATATGTTAAATACCTCTTTTTAAAAAACGTTTTACATTTTCATCGTTGTCTTTTATTATGCACTTGCATGCCTGGTCCCTACTGTCACTTCTCTGTGCCACTTCTCCATTTAGCTTTATAAAGCCAATCTTTATCTGTCTTTGGGGGTTGGCATCAGAATCTTAACATCAGCAAATTACCTGCTCTAACACTGTATGTGGTACACATTACTAAAAGCAAGACACACATACACAGAGAGACTAACATAAATGCAGGTTTGTCATAACCCAAACACGTCATAAGTCATACCTCTATTTAAAATCCGAGATCCTTTGACATCTTTTTTTATCTATACTCACAATTGTACTTTTCCATACATTGTTTAATGTCTATCTTGGCAAAATCTGACCATATAGGCATTCATGGTCCCACAAGGTATTTTTAATTTTTTTTTTTAAAGGGAGAACAGCAATCTTTTTGTTTATGATTTCCCCTTAATGATTTTAAAGACCTTCCATTCCCAGAGTGATCAAGTAGCAGGACTCCAGTGTGCATCCCAATACCCGGACTGCCTCTTCTTCCTTTACCTCTTCCTGCCTTTATTCACTTATGCAACAAGCAAGCAGCTGTCCACTCCCAATACAGAGCAATGACTGCTAGGCCCAGGGCACTGTGGGCTTTTCAGTTCCAGGCAGCAGCTGCCCATGATCAGGAAAGAACTGTATCAAACAAGGCCACACTGCCTGCTACACCTCTGGCACTTGTTCACTGGTCTCTATAGTCATTTCTCAGTACCCCTTACACATCCCCTCCATGGTGCATGCTTATGTGCCCAAGGTCTTCACCCAGTTGCTAATGTAACCCTGCCCAATGCTTCCACACACTAAGCACACATCAAGGTGGTGTACTGTTTCTGGACAACTCATTTTCCTACAGATGACTCCTTTAAACCACTTGAGGCTGCATTTGCAAAAATAATTTATCATCCAAATATTAACAGTAATGGCAGCAGGTGTCTTGTTCTATTAAGATCATTGTAGTCTCTGGTTTTAACTATTCCTAAATCCTTTTTATCCCTTTTCACTTTTGTGTGATCTGAACCCAGATGACTGCCTAGTGTCAGAGAACGCATGGATCTATAAAACAGACAAGGATATCTGGTAGCTTAGTGGTAAGGAGTTGTGTTTCCAACCCAAAGGCACATCGTTCAAATCCACCAGCTGCCACTCGGGAGAAAGATGGGTAATATTCTCCCATGCGATTTACAGCCACTGAGAACCAGCTGGTGGGTTAGTTATGAGTTGGCTCCAAGTCAATGGCACACAACAACAACAATATAAAACAGAGTATACTGGGAAAGGACTCAGTAACATGCTAAGTGATTTTCTACTTTAAAGTCAAAATAACCTGCTGACTGCAGAATTATAGCTTGAATAAACTTTAATTACTGTTCCTTTTTAAATTTTCTTATCAGGGTGCTCCTCTATCAGACCTCATCATTTTTCAATTTCCATTTTTGTTTATCTTATCCCATTCATTCACAGGCTCATCTGAGAAGACTTAAGCTCCTCCAGCTTTAGACAATAACTGCTTTTAAAACTGTAAAGTAGTTACAAGAGAAATGCTGCCCAAGATTCAGAGTTTAATAAATAAATGGAGGCTGTCAACTAGTGGCCAATATCTTCACTCAAACTTGGTTATGAGACGAAAATTACTATACTGCTCTAACATGCTGAAGAAATCATCTGAGGGAGAGGAAGACAGACACTCAGCTGTCACATCACAGGAATCAACATTATTCTAGTAGCATCCAATCTTGCTTAAGCCTTTCACTGTCAGAAATTTGAGGTTTCATGACACACTTTATACTTATAACTAATGTGGCTGGAAAATTGGTGTTGAATTTATAGTAACATTAGACCAGAAAATGTGATATACTTTATGCATGGAAATAAAGGAATGACTTGTTCATGTTCTACAGAAAATGGAAACTGGATATCAAATCCTCTCTGTATTCCAAAATGAGGTCTCAAACATTTTGTCATTTTCATTTAAGTTGTTAGGCGTGGAGCTATTAATCTGTCTTCCAACACAAATTAATGTAACACTAAATAACTGATGCAAGTTGTCAACAGATGAGTGATCAACTAATAACTCTGGTAGTAAATCATTTCTTTTTCCTCATTAAAGTTGCCAAGGAATTAGCTGCCTGGATTAATCAGTATGGGAAACAGTCTTCTCTAAATGCAAAGCTGTTTTGGATCTATTGTTTGGATTTGCCTCATTGATGTTATATGATGGTGTCAAGTTCAGGAGCCACGTACAGTTAAAGAGCACAGTCTGTTACAGGTTGGCACACTGATCTGATTTATGCAGAATTAACACAAGACAGCTATTTATTACGGAAAAGAATGATAAAGCTGCACATACTGATATGAAAAAATGACTAATGTTTTCAGTAAGTGACATAAAGGAAGTTACTGATTAATATGTAGAATTCTAATTGTTTTCTAAGAAACTATGTTATAAATGTGTTAACAGTTTGAAAATCTTCAACAATCACCTTTGAGGAAAAACAGAACAAGGTGGGAGGTTAATTTTTACAATGAGGCCATACCACCTTTAAAATTAAAACAACAGAACAATGATGACGCTTTCAACAAGGTTGCAGGTTAAACAGAATGAAAGTCATGTGTACATAGGGTCACTGAATCGCCTATGACTCGAAGACACTTAAGAACATAGAGAGGGACCAGTTGGCCTAGTGGACTGAAAGCAATGCTACCAAGCCAAAGGTGGGTGAATTTAATCCGTGGCCCTAAGGCCTGTCTTTAATTGTTTTTGGTGAAACATTCTTCTAGGTCATATAGCCCTGGTGTGTCCACTTGCTGTACAGAGGTAACCTGTGGTCGCTGTGAAGCTGAACACCATGACACTGACATGTCAAATGTGATAATGGTTACCCATAGTGGACAGTGTTTGGTGGCATTCCCCGGTTAAAACAAGCTTGGAAGCAGGAGTGGCATCCACTTCCGTAAATAGCTTGCCTCTGGAAACCCTATGAACCTGGAGAAACGATGAAAGTCACGCAAGTGTCGAGGACTCTCGTTCACAGGGTCACCATGAGTCGCCTACAACTCGACAACACTTAACAACGTTAAACAGTAGCACAGAAAAAGGCCATATTCCCAGATTCAACTAGTTCTTTAGTTGAGTCTACCTAGACCTACACTGAATATTCGGAAAAAGGAGCCCTGGTGTTGTACTATGTAATGTGTCAGGCTGCTGATGAACAGGTTCACGTCCACTAGCTGCTCTCCTGGGGGGAAGTCTCCTCCCTTAAAGACGAACAGCCTCAGAAACTGGCCACATGGTCATCATGAGTCAAATGCACAGCAGAGGCATAAACATTTACAACACCTTCAGGAAAATCTCTATAAAAAGCTGATGTAGCCACATTTATTTTGAAGATCAGTGTGACAGCTGAATGTGCATCTGTGAGTATTTTGGTATAGCATGTGTTTTTAAATAGTGCCCCGTTACAGAAAATTATTTCACAGCAGATTAACCTACCACAAAAGGATAATGGCTTTTCTTCTAAACTCCCACCTCCACTTTTAATCCAGAACTGTAAATAAAGGAGACTTCTTCTGATATCACAAGCATTTGCAGTCAGAAAGGTGATAAAATCTTTCACATCAGTTCTAAAATCCTCAGTCAAGCAGATCATCTGTAAGTAGCTGGCCACATTTAGCTTTTTAAAGTGAGAGAGAGAGAGAGAGGCATGGTTAGTTGTAGAGTTAATAGAAATGCAGCAGTAAGGCATATGAACATATATAAAACAGAAGCAAAATTTTGCTAAAATTCACAGTATCTTAAATCTCTTCATGAGAATATAACTGCTTTTAGGAAAGTTTAAATAAATATACTAAGGGGGGGGGATCCCCCAAAACAAACCACCAACCCAAAAAAAGAAATATTCTTAAACTAAAAGCATTTACATAACTTCTTTGATTAAACACATAGAATCTAAAATAGCAAGAAAGATTTTTTTTTCTATATTTTATTAATTTTCATAAACATTTACAGAGATTTTGGGTTTCCATTCATTCCTTGTTGCACTAGCAAGAAAGTTTTGATAAGACATTCTCTAACTTGAACATCAGAGGTGGTTTTATAAACCTTGGGAAAATTTCTTAGGATTAAGTTCTAATTGAGTTTCAGAAAATAAGTTACAGATATTAAAACAATAAATATGAACATTAAAATATATATGCTTATCATAGACCTTTTTTAAAAAAAGGTAAAATTATATAAGCACATGCATAAAATCCTATATAGGCATAACTAAGAAACAGAAAGGAGGAAAATCCCACTTGATTTTTATGAAGGTAATGGAGTGAATGTTTTCATTTTAACTAATGTTGCTTCTACTAATTATATATCAACAAGAGCTCTGATAGCACAGTCTATAGAGCTAAGCTGCTGACCTAAACAATGCACCCTTTCTACCAGTGGCTCTGAGAGAGAAATATGGACAATTTCCTCCTGCACAATTTACAGCCTCAGAAATCCAGTAAAGGGTCACCTATGAGTCAGTTCTAACTTGATGGCAATGTGTTTTCTTAAGGTTATAAATTTGCTGACATGTATAATTGTCTACCACTGAGGTTTATGGAAAGCATTTACCTTGAAAAATTAAATCATAAAATAGATGGTATTTACATTATACAAGACAACCAGGATATTTATGTGATAGTAAACAAAGCAGTTAAACTGCTTCCTCTAGGAAAGGTCTCCACCACTCATCTGTCAGTGAGCCATTCTGTGGTGGCTTGAGGGTAACTGTGATGCTGAAAGCTATCCCACCAGCAGTTAACCATGGTAGACAGGTTTCAGTGAAGCTTCCAGATTAAGACAGCCTAAGAAGAAGCAGAACTGGCCATTCACTTTAGAATAACAGGTCACTGAAAGCACTCAGAATACCACTGAAATATGTGTCATCAAAAAGAGCATTGCAAGGGAGCTTTGGAGCCTAGTGGTTAGAAGCTATGCTACAATTCCCAAAGGCGCAGGGTTTGAATCCACTAGATGATCCCCAGAAGGATGGGCAATCTCCTCCTGTGCCAGTCAGATCTGATTCAATGGTACAGACACACACACACACACCAAAAAAAAAGAACAATGGAAACGGAATGGACTGAGCATGCATTCAAGATGCTCACTAACTGGTGACTGGAACACAAAAGTTTGAGACAAAGAAAAAGGAATGGTATTTGGAAAATATGACCCTGGTGATAGAAATGAGGATGGAGAATATGTGAAAGAATTTTATACAATCAACAATCTATTAATTGCAAATACTTCATTTTAAAAAACAAACAGCGACTAAATATATAGACTTCATCTGATGGACTACACAGGAATCAGATTAACTACATTTGTGGAACAAAATGATGGAGAAATTCAATACGAATAGGAAAAAGTTCAGGGGCTGACTTTGGAACAGACCATCAACTATACATATGCAAATTCAAACTGTAGGTGAAGAAAATGAAACCAAGTCCATAAGAATAAAAATATAACCTTGAGTCTATCCCACTTGAATTAAAAAACTGGCAACTGTAGACCAGAAGAGTTGAGAGGTGACATCAAGGACAAGAAATAAAGAAAAGATCAAAGTGGAATTTAGAAGTAACTCTGAAACTTGGACCAGAAATGCTGAGAGGCCAAAATAAAGGGAAGAAATGTTGAAGTAAAAGAACTCAGCAGAAAATTTCAAAGGACAGCTTGAGAAGAAAGTAATATAATGAAATGTACAAAGAGCTGGAATTAGAAAATCAAAAGGGGAGAACATGCTTGGCATTTATCAAGCTGAAAGAACTGAAGAATAAATCCACCTCCCAAGTTCCAACACTGAAAGATTCCATGAAAAATAGAATTTTGAAAGATGCAGGAAGCATGAAAAGCATACAAAGTGTCACAGTATCAAAAAGAATTGTCAGGTCCAGACCAAGGTCAAAAGAGGAGAAGGAAGGATTCAAAGAATATCAACATGTCAAGAAAGGGAGTGAACCACCTTGCCCACCAGGCTAAACCGCAATGGAATGTCTCTCCCTTCCCTCCCTACAGACCCTTACTATAAAAACCTGCCCTGCCCAACTTAGGGTGTGGTTTCCCCCGGGTCTGTCTCTCTTCAAACCAAGGAATCCTGCCTGAGAGCCACCTTACTAAAGCTGCTATAGTTTTCTTTTTCGATCTGGTCCCTTCCTTCAGTCCTTGGCCTTACATCCAGTGCGAAGACCTAACATGACACTGAATCACTTTAGGAAGTAGCATATAACCAAGAACCAATTGTGCTGAAGAAAAAAAGTTCAAGATGCACTGAAGGCATTCACCAACAATAAGACCCAGGAATTGACGGAATACCAATTTAGGTGTTTTGGGAAACAGACGTAGATCTAGTTGTGCAGACTATTCTACGGCAAGACAGCTAACCAGACAATTGATTGAGAGAGAATGATATTTTTTCTCATTCCCCAAAAAAGGTGATTCAAACACAGTGGGAAATTAATGAAAAAAGAAAAAAAATCAATAGTATCATATGCAAAGTAAAATCTTATTGAAGATTACTTGTGTTTTATTAATTATTCAAAGGTATTTGACTATGATGATGCATAGCAAGTGATAGCAAAGACCATGGCCTGTATCAGACACACCTTAGTCTCCAGAGACACACTATTGCTCTTCAGTACTTTGGAGAGGTCCCTAACAGCAGACTTTCCCATGGCAATGCGCCTTTTAATTTCCTGGCTACTGGTGCCAAGAGTGTTGACTGTGGAGTCAAGCAAACTAAAGCTGTGAACAATCTCAATTTCAATCTCAAATCACTTGTTATGCATAAGAGAGTTGGACAATGACTAAGGAGGATAGAAGGAGAATTGATGCCTTTGAACTGTGATGCTGGAGAAGAGTACTGAGGGTACCATGGACTGCTAGGAAAACAAACAGATTCATCTTGGAAAGGGTTAAACTGGGCGGCTCCTTGGAGGCAAGGATTCTGAGGCTCCGTCTAACATACTTTGGATATATTGTAAGGAGGGACCGGTCCTTGGAGAGGGACATCATGCTTGGGAGGGTGGAGGGACAGCGCAGGAGGGGAAGGCCCTCTATGAGGTGGATTGATTCAGTGATGGGGTAATCGGGATGGGAGTGTCAGAGACAGTGCTATTGGCACAGGATAGGGCACAGTTTAGGGCTGTTGTACATAGGGTCGCTATGAGTCGCAAGCAACTTGACAGCACATAACAACATTTGACGATGAAAATCATAAAAACATTATGGCTAATTTGCAAAGATTGAGATTCCCAGAACACTTAGTTGTGAGCATGTTAAACCTGTACGTAAACCAAGAAGCAGTTGTCCAAACAGAACAAGGGAACACTGTACGGTTTAAAATCGAGAAAGGTGTTCATCAGGGTTGTATTCTTTCTCCATACATAGTCAATCTGTGTGCTGAACAAATGATTTGAGAAGATGAAGAGTGTAGCATCAGGAATGGAGGAAGATTTAGCAACAACTTGCATTATGCAGATGATACAATCTTGCTTATAGAAAGTGAAGACTTGAACTGTTTATGGAAGAAGAGAAAAAAGATTAGAGTCTTCAATATGCACTATATCTCAACACCAAGAAAACAAAACATCCTTGCCACTGCACCAGTAGGCAAAATCATGATAAAGGAGAAAATACTGAAGTTGTAAACTATTTCACATTACTTGGACCTACAATCAACAAACACCCATGGTACCAGCAGCCAAGAAATCAAGACATATTGCTTCAGAAAATCAGCAGTCTAAGTACAAAGGAGCAAATAAAGTGTGCCTAATGTAAGCCATGGTATTTACAATTGCTTCCTATGCATCTGCAAGTTGGATAATGAATAAGGAACACTGAAGAAGAACTGATACCTCTGAATTATGATGATGGTGAAGAATACTGAACACAGCACGGACTCCCAAAAGAACCAATCAGTGGGTCTTGGAGGAAGTAGAACTACAGCACTCCTTAGAAGCAAGGGTGGAGACACTTCTCATGTACTCTGCATGATATCAGGGGGGACTAGTCTTGGAGAGATATCAAGCCAGGAAAAGTGGAGAGAAAGAAAGAAAGGCTCTCAAAGAAACAGATTAACCCAGTGACTACAAATATGGCTTTGAGCATGAAGGAGATTGTGAGGAAGGAGCAGGATAGGGCAAGGTTCAGATCTACTGTTCATGGGTTGTTGAGTCATGGTCTACACAGCTCCTAGCAACAACAATGAAATGTCTAGCTTACAATACAGGTACACATCAGCCCTAAAGACTATTCCAAACTAGGAATTCCATTTCAGATAATGAAGCAGCAGCTCCTTTGTTTGACAAAGCCTCCCACTGATCATTACTATGCATTCTGTAATCAACAAAACAACTATCTGAGGCACCAAAGAGTCATCAAAAGCTTACTAAAACTCAGAGGAAATCAACACCTTTTTTGAATTATTATTTATGTGTGTGTACCATCAAATCGGATCTGACTGGTACAGGAGGAGATTGCCCCTCCTTCTCCAGCAGACCATCTGGTGGATTCAAACTGCATGCCTCTAAGATTGCAGTTCAGCTTCTTGCCATTAGGCCACCAGAGCTCCCTGGAAATCAACACCTTAAAGAAAATGGCAGGGGATGAGGTGGCTAAAATTAGGACAGAAACTCAGTGTTACTGGCTTAAAGCCCCACAAGACTATGAGAGCTGAAAAATGTTATACAGTAAATTCCAGGAAAAGAAAGACAAACATCCTACCAGTCAAGGTGGAATAATGATTTTACATGCCTGTGTCCAAGCAGTGCAGCTAAAGCTAAAATAACAGCAGAAATCTTGGCTACTATTCAGCCAGTAGTGGATTAGAATTGGTATGACGTGAGTGCTCATCTTTCTCTCACAGAGGAGATGGTGGATGTAAACTGTCTATCCATTAGGCCACCAGACCTGCCTTCTAAATTGTAACATAAGGCAGGAAATCCAGGATTTCTACAATTTACCATTCACAATGCCCAAAATAAAAACTTAAGCCATATAAAGAAATAGGAAAAGTTATAGAGACAAGTTAATTAATGAAGGAATGGTGGGGTTTTTTTGTTGTTTTGGGTTTTGTTGTGGTGTTTTTTTTTTAGGTTGAGTAGTGTAATATTAACAGCAAAAAAATAATACAAACGGCTTCTTCGGCAGCAGCTCATTAACATCTGAGAAGATCAACCAATGTACAGGAGATTAACGAAAGAATCAATATAATTAGGAACCCCCCTTCTATTCTAGGAATGGATGCTATGCTCTTACTACCAGTGACAGTCACCCCAAGAAATGCAAGCAGCCGCATCCTCCATCCTTTAAGGGGCAGGCAGACAAGGTATTTTATACCAACTTAAGGAAAACATGTGCAGAATAAATGAAAAAAACAAAAAAACCCACCAGAAAAAAAACCAAACCAGAAAATCCAGAGAAAGATATAAACCACAGACCGCGAACTCAATACTTAATGGGAAAATACAAATAACTTTCTCTTTAAGATTATGTGCAAGCTAATCATTTGTACATGTTCTGTATCTATTTAACATTGTACTTGAAGTGCTAGTAAATGAAAAACAGCAATTAAAAAAAGGGAGCAGGGAAGCAGAAAAATTAAAGGGAAGAAATAAAATGTCACCTATTCAGAGATGTCATGATTATATACACAGAAAATCTCAAGAAACCAATAAAACAACTACTCAAGCGAACATACTTCTGGCATGTTGTTAAGAGTGGCCAGTCCTTGCGAAAGGACACCATACTTGGAAAGGTGGAGGGTCAGCGAAAGAGAGGAAGACCGGCAATGAGATGAATGGACACAGTGACTGTAACAACAGGCTGAAGCATATCACAGATGATGAGGATGGCACAGAATAGGGCAAGCTTCAGATCTGCTGTTCAGAGGACTGAGTCCTATGTACTTGACTCAGTGGTACCTAACAAAAACAATAATAAAACCGAAAAAAGAATTTAACAAGACTGAAGGAAAGACATCTAGAGTCTACAGCAATACTGTTCAAAGAATATACATATGGGAAGCAGTAACCCTAAGAACAAACAATATTTATAAGTGGAAACATAAGTAGCTACGCAAGATAAATAGGTAGGCGACATCATATGGAGATACCCTCATGAGTATCAAATTATCAATTTGGCAGAGGAAATTTATACATAATTATTTGTATGTGCTGAATATACCTGCATATCTATAGCCAAGCATACAGGAGACAAAGTTATGAAAATTTCTTAACCAAGCATCCAAACATCTCTGAAGAGACTGAGTTGCCAGACCTGGGAGCTCAGGACCATAATCACGGGAGACATCAAGATCAACTGGCATAGCATATAGTCAAAAAACCAATGTTCTACGTTCTACATCTACATCCTGTGCAGCCACAGGGGTCTAAAATCTTGCAAGCAGTCCTCTAGGATACAACTAGTGGTCTCTCCCTGTTGAGAGCAAAGAAGAGAAAATAAAATACACAAGGAAACAATTAGTCTAAATAACTAGTAAATGAAGCAGAGGTTCTATTAGGCTGAAGCCAGAACTAGATGGTCTCCTGCTCTCACTATAGACTGCTCCCATGAGGATCATGACAGAAGGTCCAAGACAGAGCCAGAATAAAATGTAAAACAAAATTCAAAAACCTGAAAACCAGACTTACTGGTCTGATCAAGATTACAAAACTCTTGAGGCTACAGTGCTTAGATACCCTTCAAAACTGAAATTGCACCCTCCCCCAGCAGTCACTTTTCAGTTAAACAATAGATAAACCTTAAAAACAAACAAACAAAAAATTCAACTCATTAACTCATTGTTGTTGAGTTAGAACTAACTCATACCTGATCCTCCAGCTATTTTTCCAGAGGCTAAAAATGAAATGTGAAGAAATTATCTATCTTTTTCCCTTGGAGCCACTGGTGGCTTCAAACCATCCAAAAAGCATCTCCTTTGGGTGACAGGACAGCTCCCTACAGATTACCTCACAAGACCTCCCTAACTATGGTGTTGGTACGTGCCCTTGAGTCAGAACCAACTCACAGCTGACAGTCCAGTGGGTTTTCTGAGGCTATAAAGTGCCCATCTTTCTCCATCAGAGCAGTTGGTGGATTCGAACAACCTGTCTCTGGGTTGGCAGCACAACACTCTCTAGCAATAAGGAGGCCTATAAAGTAAACAATATACGGAGGAATGCACTCCTCAGAACAACCAAGCAATGCTATAAGGTCAAAAGGACATTATTTGCCCCAAACCAAAGCTCAGACAGTGGAAGGGGCAGGAAAGGAGGAGACATGGAAAGGGGGAACCCAGACAAGAAGTGAAAAAAAAAAGTGCTGCAATGTGACAGGGATGGTGATTAATGTTACAAAACAAAATGTGTAAAACTTATGAAAATTTTACTCAAACCATAGTAAAATGTCCCTCCTAAAATGCATATATACACAAACATGTATATGACATAAGTTATCTATGTATTTTCAATTTTTTTAGTTATCATATTGAAAAAATTTAAAAAACCGGGGAAATTCATTTTAATTAGGCTATTTAATCCACATATACAAATATTTTAACTTAAAATATTTTAATATGTAATCAATAGTCAACATCAGTGGGATAATTTACATTCCTTTTTTGTAATAAGTCTTCCATCTAGTGTTTATATCCTACATTAGCACATCTCAATCTAGACTAGTCATATTTTTAAAAAATCTAACAGTTGTATTGAGATTTCATTCCTAAAGCACATATTTCATCTGCTTAAGGTGTACAATTCAATGGTTATAATGTGTTCACACTTATGCAACCATTACCACTATCTAATTCCAGGACACTTATATTACCTCAAAAAAGAAATTCCATACAAATAAGCAGTCCTTCCATTTCTAATGGATAAAACTAGAAGAATTCTATATGAAGGATAAACCAAAAAGAAAAAAAGAACACCACATATCAAAAGAAGACAGACATACACACAAAAGGGCATATAATGTTATATAGATGACAGGCACTGAGACACATGAATATATTCCATTAATATGAAATTTCAAAATAGACAAAACTAAGCAATACACATTAGAATAGTAGGAGGTATTTGGTAACACAAAGAAACAGAACTCTCTAAATTGTAATCTGAGTAATAATTACATGGGTGTTTACATGTATTAACATACAATGAGCTACATTAAGGTCAGTGCATCTTAACTATATGTAAATCTTCAATAAAATATTTTTACAATAAAAATCTAATGTCTAGTGTAATATATTTTATTTTGAAAAAAATCTTCTTTAAGGCAAAAAAGGGAAATATACTAATCAGGAATTTCTGAATATAAAACATTTTAATACCACTAACCATACATTTTAAAACTACAAATCAAAATAAACCATCTTTTATATAATTATATAACTTCTGATCATCAAAACTCAGAACTTACAAGGGAAGGAGTATTAAATTTGATTTCTTCAAAGCAGCCATCAAATGTTAAACTAAATGTTGGATCTAGAGAAAAAAAAATAAATTTCCATTTAAAAAAGCCACCGCAATCACTTCTCCCGATACTACTTTTTCTATGGAAATAGTCTGTATCTCATTGTTAACAAAAATTCTATTTTCATACAAATTAAAAATACTTTTGAAATTGATGTTCTATCTAAACTTAAAGTAACAAAGAGCTTTTAATGAAGCTACCAGCTAACTCGTGATTAATAAGATTTTTATCACTAAAGCACAAGATTTTTATCATTAAAGCACAATCACTAAATGTGAGATGGATCAACAGTTTGTGTGTAGTATCTGTTACAACCATATTTTTTCTAAAGAAATTAATAGCAGAGATAGCCTACTGTAATGAAAGATAACAAACAATATTACAATATGCTATAATAATGCAAAAAAAGGGGAACTTATCTAAGTTTTTAAAATTAGTAGATCATTTATAAAAAAGACTGATGGTGATTTACTTTAACTAATATATACTAGAATCTATATGGAGAAGGTATCATGGGGAATGACAAAGGAAGTCCAGTACTGCTGTTGTTATGTGCCATCGAGCCACTTGCCACTCACTGTGATTCTATGTACAACAGCTCTGAATTCCTGCTTTATCTTAAACCAACCTCACTGTCTCTGACATACCTACTCCCATTACCCCAGTCTCTGAGTCAATCCATCTCATCCAGGATCTTTGTCTCTTGCACTGTCCTTCCACCCTTCCAAGCACGATGTCCCTCTCCAAGGACTGGTCCCTCCTTGCAACATGCCCAAAGTATACTACAGCTTCAAAATCCTTGCCTCCAAGGAGCAGGTTGGTTTCACCCTCTCTAAGACAAACCCGTTTGTTCTTCTAGCAGTCCATAGTATATTCAATGCTCTCTGCAGCACCACAGCTCAGAGGAATCAGTTCTTCTATCATCCTTAGTCATTATCCAGCTTTCTGATGCATAGCAAGTAATTGCAAAGATCATGGTCTAGATTAGGCATACCTTAGTCTCTAGACTGACATCTTTGCTCTTCAATACTCTGGAGAGGTTCCTGATAGCAGACTTTCCCAAAGCCAATTTGTCTTTTGATTTCCTAGCTGCTGGTACCAAGAGTTTTGATTTTGGAGCCAAGCAAGCTAAAGCTGTTAACAATCTCAATCTTAAAAAAAAAATAAAAAAAAGCCAACCACAAAACAATCTCAATCTCTTCACCATCTATCATGCATGATGCTGCCAACTAGCCCAGTGGTGAAAAATCTTCATTTTCTTTTCTTTTTTTTTTTTTATTATATTTTATTACTTTTCATATACATTTACAGAGATTTTGGGCTTCCACTCATTCATTGTTGCACTATTCTCTCTACCCTCCTCCCAGTTTGTTCTTGTCCAAATGCCACAGTGCTTGTCGAAGCCAGTTCTGATTAATCTTCTTTGTCAGTGTATCCTTTGCCATTCCCTATCACTCCTCCCTGAGAGAGACTTCACCCTGAGTCATAAGGAAAAGGGGACGGCGTATTCTCTTAGCTACTTCCTGCTGAAAAGGGACGCTGTGGGTTTCAGGGTGAAGATCTTCTCTCACTACTCTAAAGGGCCCCTTTGGCAGTAGGAAACACATAGACTATTATGGAGATTGATTTTGGAATTCAGATGCACTCTTATTGATTGTGCTTGGCTGTACATGTACATATCCTTCAAGATGTATATGGGGGTGTTGCAACCTAGAAGACACAAATTTGACTAACAAGTTATAAGTACATGAGTCCAAAAATTATGGAAAAGTAAAAGAAAAGATTCTTTCATTGTTTTACATCTTCATTTTCTTGATGTTGAGCTTCAATCCATATTGAAGTCTGCAGTCCTTGACCTTCTGCAGCAAATGCCTCAGATTCTCCTCAGTTTTGGCAAGAAGGGTTGTATCATCTGCATAATGTAGGTTGTTGATGAGTCTTGCTCCAATTCTGATGCCACATTTCTGCTCACAGAGCTCAGCCCCCTAGACGATCTGTTTTTATATATTTCAATATAGATTGCAAAGGTACGAAGATAGGATGCATGCCTAGTGTTCACGTTTTCTGATTTTGAACCACACAGTGTTTCCTTGCTCTGTTCTGACAACTGCCTCCTGGTCCAAGTATAGGTTTCACACAAGCACAGTCAAGTATTCTGGGATTCCTATTCTTCTCAGAATTGGTATCAGATCTGTCTCCTTGCTATTTTGTTGTTGTTGATTTCCACCCCCTCATATGCAGTTATCATTCATAACTTTAGTCAACAATTATTTGGTAATTCTTAATACTGGAAGAAAAAGTCCAGTATTAAGAACTACCAAAAATAAGGAAATCAACTGGAAGAAAAAGTCCAGTGTTAAGAACTACCAAAAGTAAAGAAACCAATATTTCTTTAAAAAAAAAAAAGAACTATCGAACAATTGTTGGCCAAAGTTATGAATGGTGACTGCATATGAAAGGAAAAATCAGCAAGGGGATGGATCTGATAAGCTCTCTTACCAAAGTCCTGTTATAGGCTTTTCCATAATCTCTACCTGCATGTCAAATTTCTAATTCGTACCTCCAGCACAGTAAACCAAGTAGTAATCGTTTTTAAAGTCTTTGATACTAGCAAAATAATATATTCATTTTTACAAGTATTCAGAGGTATAAATCAAAAGATTTTGCTAGGAATCTAATTCTAGAGGAGAAAAAGGTTTTAAAAAATATTTTCATTAGATGTAACTTATGAAATTAAAATCATTACCTACCACTTGTAGTAAGGATTACCGGTCTTTTTGTTGTTGCCATGAAAGTTTTGATTGCGTTCAAAAACCCAGCATCCTCATCAAAAATCACATCAACCTACAAAGCATTCAAATGAATAATAAGGTGCCATATAACAAGAGAGACACAGATATCAGTTATGCACACACATAAACCATATGTCTGCTAGAGAAAAATTTATCAACAGCGTAAACTCAATACTGAAACCTCAAAATGTATCACACTATAAAAAGAGAGTAAGTGAAATACTAAAACCAAAGAGTCCTAACTACCTTCAACTGAATATAAAGATTCCTGGTGACACAGTGGTTATGTGCTTAGTTGCCAATTACAGGCCTCAACTGGGCACAGAGAAGGCCATCTGAGACCATGGTATTTGCACGACTGATTGCCTTATGGTTTTCTGTTAGTGATACAAAACCTATCTATCGTATTGGTGGAATTATTTCCATACTATTAATTACTTTCTTGTTTACTTGTGTATAGGCTTGCTTGTTGATTATTTGTTCATATTAGTGCAGCATTTGTCTGTAAGCTTGCTGCAATGTACTAACTTGTGGGTTACTATGATGCAGAATGTTATGCCACTAGTGTTTCAAATGCCAGAAGGGTCCCCCATGGTGGACAGAAGCAGGATTGGCCATCCAATGCTGAAATAACACTGGAAACTCAATAATACTATAGTTTTAGAGGCAGGGCCCAGATGGGAAGTCACTCAAAAAAGATAACAGCTACAATCATCTTTTCATAATCAGAACATGGAATATACAAAGTATGAATGTAGGAATATTGAAAGTTGTAAAAAATGAAGTGGAATACATCAGTATCGATATTCTAGCTTAGTAAACGGAGATGGACCAGCCAGGGCCACTTTGAATCAAACAATTAAATGATTTGTTATGCTAGGAGTAGAAAAACTGTATTGCATTCATACCGAAAAAGACAATTTCAAGATATATCCTAAGTACAATGTTTGACTGATAGTATACTATCCATAAACACACAAAGAAGACCTATGAATAAGACTATTATTCAAATAAATACACCAACAATTAAAGCCAATCAATGGTGATGTTAGACAGATCCTGGACGAAGGCAGAGGATTCCAGAAGAATGTCTATTTGTGTTTTGCTGACTACACAAGAGCATTTGAATGTGTGGATCTTATCAAACTATGGCTAACATTGAGAAGAACGGGAATCTCAGAACACTTAATTGTATTCACATGGAATCTATACCTAGATCGAGAAGCTGTTGTCCAAATAAAGCAAGGGAAAACATGTATGGTTTAAAATAGAGAAACGTGTGTCAGTGTTGTATCCTTTCTCCATACCTATTCAATCTCCATGCTAAATAAATCATTCAAGATGAAGGACTCTGTGAAGAAGGATGTAGTATCAGGATAGAAGGAAGATTCATCAACCTGTGATATGCAGAAGACACAACCTTGCTAGATGAAAATGAAAATTTGAAATGCTTGCTGCAGATCAAAGAATACAACCTTCAATATGAATCACATCTCAACATCAAGGAGGAAAAAAAAATCACCATCATTAGACCAATAGGAAACATTATGATAGATGGAGAGAAGACTGAAATTGTCATAGATTTCATCTCAATTGGATCCACAATCAACACCCTTGGTAGCAGCAATCAGGAGACATAATGCTTTGGGCAAATACACTGTCAGGGATCTCTCCAAAGTACTAAGAAGCAATGACGTTAGTTTGAAGACTAAGGTGTGCCTGACTCAGGCTAAAGTCTTTTTAATTGCTTGCTATGTGTCTGAGAGCTGGACAATTAACACAGATGAATGAAAACTGATGCTGCCTTTGAGTTGTGGTGTTGAAGAAGAACACCGACTATCCCAGGGACCACCAAAAGAATAAAGATATGTCTTGGGGGAAAAGCAGTAAGAGAGCCCCTTGTAGGCATAGATGGTGAAGCTTTGTCTCACATCCTCTGGGCATGTTGCTAGAAGATATTTTTAGAAAGGGACATCATATCGGAAGGGTGGAGTGTTAGCAAAAGAGAGGAAGACCTTCAATGAGAACAATCAACAGTGACTGCAGTTATGGGTTCAAGTATGTCAGAGATGATGAGAACGACACAGGATAGGCCAAGGTTCAGATCTGTTGTCCATATGGATGCTATAGCACCTCACAACAAAAGCCACTATGTGGCAGGAATACAGAGAAATCTGCTTCCAAAATTATTACAGACTTGGAAACTACTCTAGGGGCTCTGTATTATCCTATTGGGTTGCTATTAGTTGGAACTTGGTTTGAAGGCAATGGGTTTTAATGACTTTAACTAGATACGTATGGGTCAGAAGAATTACCACAACCATTCAATCTGCAACTTCAAATTATATGTCTTCTTTCTAAAAAAATTTTTTTCTGAAGTTGTTAGTTTCAATTCTTTTAATCTCAAATAAAAATATTCATGACTGTCTTGGCTATTTATAATCTTTTGTAGAAAAACATTACTCATGATCTTTAAAAATAGCATTTATCTATAAGCCTACCTCCTCAAAAAGAATAAGAGATGTCGCATTTCTCTTGTTTAGTTCCTCAACACCAAGTTCTTTGTTTGAATTAACTGTGTTTGTGGACTTATTGTGAATAATTTGTTTCTGGTCAAAAGAATTTTTGATTCCTGCATAAAGAGAATATTAGCATTATAGATTTTCTACAGAATATTTTTGAAGAATAAACTCAAACAGAAACAACTAATCAAAACAAATAAAATATCAGGACTTTAACATATAGGAGCTTCAGTATAGCTAAGATTTACTAAAGAGCTATTATAACTCATGAGCTATATTCATATCTGTAAATATCAGAGTGATTAATATAAAAATACATCACGTTCTTTCTACTATTGTATTGTCTTACCTTTACTATCCTCCTGAAGTGCTCCTGTTTCTTCATTATTTTTTGATTTGGAGGATATTTTAAAATAATTTGCTAAAGTTTTAGGAGGTAGTGCTCGCTTTGGTCCACTACTTTTTGGTGAAGGTGGAAAAATTTTCTTCGGTGATGTAACAACTTTCTTCGGGGAGTTTAATTTTCCTGCCAAAACCATGATATTTAAAGATAAATAATCCAAAAATTAGACATCAAGAAACACAATCTACATTCTGCATTTCTACGTTTACCTGCAAAAATCAAAGATATATAAATGTTCTTTTATTTTTATACTTGAATACTTTTAATATGCTATATTTATTCTACCAATATAGAAGGTAAAATGATTTCTTTTGAAAAGGCACTACTTTCCAAAGCAATGCATTCTTAAAACAAATGATGACAATCTTTGCAATGACTTTCTCTGACTAAGGTCAAGAGGATTAAAGAAAGCCAATACAGAACTCTGTTGTTCAACTTAGGGGCAAAGTACATTGGCCAGCAAATACTTTCTCAGTCCTCATTTCTTAATAACATAAAATTGCAAAATGCACAATCAACAGTGAATAAATTAGATGATTGTTGTTATTAGGTGCTGTCAAACCGAGTACAATTCAGAGTGAGAGACCCTATGAAGACAGATGTGAACCCTGTCCTATCCTTTACCCTCGTTATCATCTCTGACATTGCCCAAGTTACTGTGTCAATCCATCTCATTGAGGGGCTTCCTCTCTTTTGCTGATCCTCCACTTTTCCAAGGACTAGCCCCCTTTAACACCATGCTCAAAGTATGTGAGACAAAGCTTTGTCATCCAAGGAGTACTCTGGTAGTACTTTACCCAAGACATATCTGTTTGTTCTTTTGGTAGTCCATGGGATATTCGGTACTTTTCTCCAACACCACAACTTGCAGGCTTCAATTCTTCTGCCACCCTTATTCACTATCCAGCTCTCAGCTTTCAAATAACTGAAAATACTACGGCCTCAACCAGGTGCACCTTAGCCTTCAAACTTCAGCCTCCATTGCTCCTTAGTACTTTTGAGGGGTCCTTAAGAGCAGACTTAACTGCTGGTACCAAGGAATTGATTGTAGATCTAAGTAAGATAAAACTGTGGACAATTTGAATCTTTTCTTCCAACTATCATGATGCTGTCTGACAGTCAAATAGTCAGAACTGTCTTCTTGATGATTGGGACTTTCTAAAAATTAAATTCTATGTGCATAAAAAGATTTTTTCAAAATAAAAATGTATAGAAAACTTCAACACCTCAACAAGAAAAAGATATACAACCCAGTTACAACATGAGCAGAGAACATGCAGCAATAACAGCAGAGTTCAATAAGACGGCAATCAACCAACCCCTGGGGAAGATGTGGAGGCTGGGACTCTCCTACAGTGTTGGTGGGAATGAAAAATGGCATAACCACCATGGAAAGCAGTTTGGAGCTTCCTGAGAAAGTTGAAAATAGAAGCATCATTTGATCGACTAATCTGACTACTACTAGGTATATAGCTCAAAGAAATAAGAATTGCTGGGCTCTATGAGGAGAAATGTGGGGTCAGGATTGGTGAACGATTTATCAACAATCTGCGTTATGCGGATGACACAACCCTGCTTGCTGAAACTGAGGAGGACCTGAAGCACCTGCTGCAGAGTGTCAAGGACTGCAGCCTGCAATATGGATTGAGGCTCAATGTCAAGAAGACAAAGATTCTCACCACTGGACCAATCGGCAGCATCAGGATGGATGGTGAAGAGATTGAGATTGCGCACAGGTTCAGTTTGCTTGGCTCCATAGTCAACAGTCTTGGCACCAGCAGCCAGGAAATTAAAAGGCGCATTGCCATGGGAAAGTCTGCTGTTAGGGACCTCTCCAAAGTGCTGAAGAGCAGTGGTGTCTCTCTGGAGACTAAGGTGCGTCTGATACAGGCCATGGTCTTCGCAATCACCTGTTATGCATCAGAGAGTTGGACAATGACCAAGGAGGATAGAAGGAGAACTGATGCCTTTGAGCTGTGGTGCTGGAGAAGAGTACTGAGAATACCATGGACTGCTAGGAAAACAAACAGATTTGTCCTGGAGAGGGTTAAACCGGGTGACACCTTGGAGGCAAGGATTCTGAGGCTCCGTCTAACTTACTTCGGACATGTAGTGAGGAGAGACCAGTCCCTGGAGAGGGACATCATGCTTGGGAGGGTGGAGGGACGGCGCAGAAGAGGAAGGCCCTCTATGAGGTGGATTGATTCAGTGACTGGGATAATTGGGATGGGAGTGTCAGAGACAGTGCGATTGGCACAGGACAGAGCGGAGTTTAGGGCTGTTGTACATAGGGTCGCTATGAGTCGCAGGCGACTTGACGGCACGTAACAACAACAACAACACATGAAGATAGACACATACCTAATTTTGCTGCAGCAGTATAGAGAGGAAAAGTGTCCATCAACAGACAAATGATTAAAGAAACTACAGTACATTCACACAATGAAATAGTTATGCATCACTAAAAAATGATTTTTAAAAATCTTGAAACATTGTACTCTAGAAGAAATTATGCTGAATGACATTAATCAGCCACAAAAGGACAATTACAGTATAAGAACACTATTAGGAAAACTTAAGGTTTACACGTAGACAGAATCATTCTTGGAATGGTTAGCAGTGATGGAAAGGGAGGGAGAGACAAGTGAAAAGAACTAAGCGGGTAAAGGGAAAGGCAATATACAGTAAGAGGCAAATTAAAAAAAAAATAAAAAAAAGAGGCAAATCAGACATTGTAATTCATTAATTATACTAACCAATTGTATTTAGTGTTATAAAACATGTATTAACGACTGAATAAAAATCCACTATGATTTGGATGTAAAGTTTCATTCAAAAGATAAAATGAATTACAATCATAAAACTTCAGAAAAAAGAGCATACCATTCTATGCAGGCAATTTTATGATTTGTGTCCTATTCTTTTTTCTGTCTCTCCCATTCTCATATATTCCACTGTAATTTTTAGGTAATATAGGTGCTCAGTAGATTTACAGAAAACTTTTCATCTTATTGCTCTTCCCTATAATTCACTACTTCCTTTACTTTTGCATTTTCCTGAAATGTAAAGCATTCATTTCTTTCTAATATGTGTTTTTATCAAAGTAATATATACATTTATTATTTTAATAAGAGCCATAAAATGAAAATCCCTTGGTCTACTCATTTCTATATTCTACTTTGAAGAGGCAATCACCATCAACCCAAAGCATTCTTGAACATCCACAGCAACTCCCAACACCACATTACTGTCTTCTTTAACAACTTAAGTCTTCTCTCGATCCTTTTAAACTTATGCTCTGTACCAAGTAAACCAGTGTTTACTTTTCCTAGTTGTTCATTCGGGAAGCAGGGCTTTATGAGGAGGAATGTGGCACCAGGATTGGAGGAAGACACATCAACAACCTATGTTATACAGATGGCATAACCTTGCTTTGCTGAAACTGAAGGAGCCCTGAACTGCTTGTTGCAAAAGGTCAAGGACTGTAGTTTTCAATATGGATTGAAGCGCAATATCAAGAAGACAAACATTCTCACCACTGGGCCAATTGGCAGCACCATGATAGTTGGAGAAGGGACTGAGGTTGTTAATAATTACAGCTTGCTAGGCTCCACAATCAGCACTCTTAACATCAGCAGTCAGAAAATCAAAAGACAAATTGCATTGGAAAAAATCTGCAGTCAGTGACCTCTCCAGAGTACTGAAAAGCAACGATGTCAGTCTATAGAATAAGATGCACCTAACCTAGGCCATGGCCTTCACAATTACTTGCTATGCATCAAAAAGCTGGACAATTACTAAGGAGTACAGAAGAAGAATCAATGCCTGAGAACTGGTAATGGAGAAGAATCTTGAACATACCATGGACTGCCAAGAAAACAAATAAGTCTGTCTTGGAGAGGGTGAAACCAAGTTTCTCCTTGGAGGCTAGGATTTTGAAACTCTGCCTTTGGTCCAGGAGAGACCATTTCTTGGAGAAGGAAGGACATCATACTTGGAAGGGTGGAGAGACAGCACAGGAGAGGAAGACCCACAATGAGATGAATTGATACAGTGACTGGGGAAATGGGGATTGGTATATCAAAATTAGTGAGACTGGCTCAGGACACGACAGGGTTCAGAGCTGCTGTACATAGGGTCACTACAGGTTGCAGGTGACTTGATGGCATATAACAACAACAAAGAACAAGTCACACTTATTTGTTCCTGAGTATAACATGTCTTCTTCTTGGGCTTCTAATGTTAACAGAGATTAAAAGTGTGGGAAATAAAATGGGATTGCCTATTTTACTAGGGAAAAAAATGCTATTTTAAAAAAGTTCTACAGACATAATAATTTCTTAATAAAAGAATATTTTCACACCACAAAGTAAGTGGAACATCCCAGAGTTATGTGGTTCAAATCCACCAGATGCTCTGCTGGAGAAGGAGGGGCAATCTCCTCCTGTACCGGTCAGATCTGATTTGAGGGTACACACACACAAAATAATAATAATAATAAAAAAATCTCTATTAAAAATAAAAAGTAAGTGGAACATAATCATGACATTAAAAAAATTCTTTAAATTTCGATTTATGAAAAAATGATTTTTTAAAAAATTTTTTTAAATTTTATTATTTTTGTGTGCGTGTACCGTCAAATCAGATCTGACTGGTACAGGAGGAGATTGTCCCTCCTTCCCCGGCAGAGCATCTGGTGGATTCGAA